TTCACCGTCTCCAATGTATTGTCTATTACGTTATTCACAATTAACACCAATGATAACAACTTTTGGAGTTACAACATCTTCATCATTATCACCTATTACAAATGAATTATCACCTATGTTTTCTTCAAATGAAGAAAAAACGATTTCAATAGAAAATCCTAGTCCACATCATCTTACAGTTGAATTAAATGAAACACATCGAAGATCAAAACAAAGTGATCGATCACCGGTTGTATCTTATTATTCACTTTTGCCAAAAGCCTATTGAGGTGCTATGTACATAGAAAATTATAAAAAAAAAAAAAGAACAACAACAACAAAGAAGAAATTTAATCGCTGTTGTTATTAATCTGCTTTTCTTGAATTTAAAAAAAAAAATAATATATATATATAATTATATGTTGAATCAAAAGCTAAATAATTCGATTTAAATTGTAATTATGTTTTGTAATGATAAATTAATGGTTATACAAACAAAAGCAAAGGGAAAAAGAACAATTTAAAGATCATGACATTCTGTTTTTGATTGTTTATGAAAGAGGAAATAGTGTATTTGCTGTTTTTTGAAGCATTAACATCAGCTGTTCCTTATACAAATATGTTTTCAATCAAATTAGTGCATAACCAGAAGAAGAAAAAATAAAATTCAGCATGTGTAGAAGGAAAAAAATAGTAAAAATATTTACATTGGCATAAAGAAAAAAAAGGAAAGAATAGCATGACTGTCACTACATGAAAATTGAGAAAAAAAAAATATATATATATTACATCATTATTAGCTATGAATATAGAATCATATTCCAATGGTTGTATTTTTTTTTTGATTTATTCAGTCTTTAAATATTGTATTCAAATTATCAAATCACAAATGAATAAAAATAGTATCTTGCTTCAATTCACTTGGATGACATTGATGATGCACTTGGATATATATTTGACGTTCGTAGATATAAATAGGATATGTTTAGTAATTCGGAAATTAATTTCATAAAGATTATTCGATGATTATACAATTTAAATATTGATCTAAAAATTTAGTTGATGAATACAAGGAAAATTTTATTTTATTCGGCATGTATCATTTATTATTCTATTAATAATGAAAACTTCAAGAGAGATAATAAATTATTAATGTGAAGTTTATTCTATTGGAAAATGTGATCAAAATTAAGGTCAATGAAACTCAGAAATAATTACGAAATTCTAGGACATCAATAATGTGACTATTTCCAAAGAATATTCTAAATGCAAAAAAGAAAAACGTATCAAACACAATCGAGAAAAACACATGTTAAGTCATTCTTAACTTTTGACTTAGTTGTTCATACCAAGTTCAATCAAAAAAATGTTTATGTATAGAGAATTTAGTGTATTTAGTTTTTTCTTTCTCATTCAAAATGAATTAACGATGTAGAAATAAAGAATAAAATCTATTTCCATTGAATGTATTCAAGCTGATATAAAACTGAAGAGTTCGGAAATTAGAAACAAAAACAAAAGCTTTTTCTAATTTCTTTTTCTATTTATCTTATTTTTGAATAGATTATTTAATATTATATTTTGAAAATTAATAGTTAATTTTTAATAAAAAAAAAAAAAAAAAAAAATAATAATTTTTCCACATCATGGTTATTGGTTATGAATAGGAAATTCGATTATTGTAGTTGTACGTGGTACTATAACTTAATCATTGATGAAATAAATGTCATACGTATTTTTGTAAGTTATTGTTATATATTATTATAAAATTTTTAGTAGTTTTTCATCAAAGATGAAATTAAAATATTTTTGATCTTTTGCAGAAAAAAAATGAGAAAACGTTCTGAAAAAAAATGAGTTCAATTGTGACTTTGATTCTAGAGAGGAAATAGGGCACTCTTATACTTGAAGTTATTTTGCGCTTCTTTCAAGTATTTCAAGCGATCCTAAGCTACTTCACACGTACGCTGAACTTCTTTAAGTTACTTTGAAGCACTTCAATATACTTCAAAATTTCTCAATAATAACGTCAAGAATACATTTTTGATATAAAGCTATCGGTCGCTTTGTTGTGGCAAATTAATAATATAATATAAGAAACTCAATATATACGAGAGAAAAATACAATAGAAATGATAAAATTACACAAGTATTTCAATGATTTATTTAGAAGGAAAAAAAGATGAAAACGAAAAACATAGACAATCATATGCAAGTTAAAACAAAGAAGAAAAAAAAATATTCACATGCGTTCTTCTTTTTTTCGAATAATGTTTTTAGACGTGGGCGTAGGTGTTTAGTGAGAGAAAGACTTTTATTAGTGTCCTGCATCGAAGTTGAAGCCGAAATCACTACAAGAAATTTTTTCGAAGTCAATATCGGAGATACATCAATAAAACAGTCCAGTATTTTTACTCTAACATAGTGACAAGTCTATTCCTCATATATTAAGTAATAAACAAAAATACACTAGTGTCGATTCATAAATAACTCATGTCACATATTTCTTCGCACTACCACCATTATATTACAAGGTTCATGAGAATCGATGGCAGCGCTTACGACGTTCGATTCCAGCTATAAACAGTTGGCGAGAGTGTTTACTATCCAAAGATTTGAATTATTTATACCATAAGTTTTGCAGCGCCATCTATAATAAAAAGGCCCTATACTATTTTTGAAAAGGTTGCCCAAATTCAATGAAGTTTGCGCTCATAGTAAACGTAAGTGAGATACATTCACTATGACATGTTTAGTTTCATATGCCTTATTGAAGAGAGGCTATAATGAAAATACGTCTTTATAAAATCGATGCAAAAATCGGAAAAATTTGGTTTAGTATGATTTTTCAAAGAATTACCGGTTTCTTAGATTTCATAGTGTGAATAAAAGTATGTCATATGCAGTTGGATAGAGTGTCATAGCTATATCATTTTTAGCAAAATTTTGACTTTTTCACAAACAGTGAATTTCAGTAACGCAATCACATCCTCAAAGCAACACTTTATCACAAGATTAAGCTTTCATGAGAACTATGTCTTAATTTGGGTTACTATGACTAAAAATTCGAAGAGAAACGATTTTATTCTCAAGAAGATATGTCCATGTCATGGTTACAAAGATACTGTGGGTTCGTTTGAACAAAAAAAAAGCCCTCTCATTTGGAATCGATATTTGTCAAGTGGAGACTAACGAGGGAACCGCCTGAGGTGCCCAACACCGATTTCCTTCATCCATAGGTCGTTTGATAGAGGGCATCGATATAGTAAGAAGACTACAAGGATTTGTGCTGACGGCTCTTTCTTGAAAAGTTAAGGCCCATTTTCTGGTCTTCCCAGCTAAAATGGCCAAAAATTGAAAATCTTACAATTCAGTCAAGAAAGCCTCAAGAAATCTGATTTTTGTGTGAGAACTTCAGAATTACGGAAACTCAATATCGTGTGAGATATGTCGCCGTCCATCCAAGAATGGAGGTCGTCTTCGATCTTCCATGTAGAGATCTCTCATATTAGAAAGATATTTTCTTTATCAAAAATCTTTTACAAACAAAACCACAGCAAAAAGAACTATTTACAAACTATTTATCTTGGCTATGCTGTTAACAGACGTCAAAGAAAAAGAACGAGACCTACCTTATAATAAAGATAAAATGTCAATGTTTGTGATGGCTGTCATAGAAATGCAAGAAACAAATAACCTTTGAACAGAAAATACATTTTACAAACAGTGCATTTCTACAATCTGGTTGACAACAACGAGTTTCAGAAAATGAAAAACAGACTTTCTTGACATTCTGAAAGGAACAAGGGTTTTATTTCAAATATCCCGATTGATACCATGCATAAAGATTCATTGAAATGAACTTCTATAAAGAAAGCTAATTATAGGCCAAACTACTCATTTTTATTATATTTTTTCATTGAGCTAAATTGAAATCCAAATCATAAAAATGAACCTGATTGTACATTTCTCGAATGAAGTGTTTGTACTGATGATTCCACTCCATATACAATGGTTGAATCAATGGACTTGTCTTTTTTGGAAGTTCAAGTCGGTTTAAATGTTTCATTTTATCATAAAACATTTCCGTCCTCTGTCCACCCCAGTAATCAATTAAGAGTGGGTCCATGAAAACACCACCCAAAATGGTAGGGATCAGTTGCGGAAAAATTTTAGTTTTTGAAATGAGATTGCTAGTTTGAAAGAGCATAAAAAGTCACTCTGAAATCCAAATTTTTACAATTTTGGACAATATCTTCAGATACTTCGGCGACCTGATTGTTTGGTCCTGAAATATTGGTCTATCAAAATCTATGGTTTTTAAATCATATTCGTGTATGAATTTTTTGATCGCAAAAAACATTGATCAAAACCATTATCAAACTATACCAATCGATAGAGCTGAAGTTGCTCTACAAGATCCTATATCTCCTATATATTATTATGTACCCACAAAATAACAAAAAATCATTATAATAGGTGAACTCGACCCCTCTTTTGATATATTTACATGCTATCTTTTACCATTCTTACTTCTCTTATGTAGCTAATTTTCAAGAGCCTAAGATAAATTTTATATAGTTTTGTAGAGCGTCAAAAAGCGCATCTTTTGATAAACAAATATTGGCTCTAAAGTACTTACAGGGTTTCGAAAACTCCATAACAATGTTGCTTACTATGCAGAATTTTTTGATTTTATGAAAATGTACGGATAAATTTTTTTATTAAAAAATCGATTATTTTCGAGAAAGTTTACATTGTTTGATAGAAGTTCCAGAACATCTTCAGAAACACGATCAAAGCAACATCTTCTCACTCCTTTTTGTGTTCATAAGATTAAAAAAAAGAAAAAAACACTTAGATTAACATATCTCTTTCTGGATTGTTTTTGCGTTTTAACTCAAAAATCTTCATTGAATTCAAAGGACAGGGGCGCATAAGAACAGGAATCGGCCCACGAACAGATTCTCATAAGAAGTTAATTTTCTGATGCAGAATTTTACGGCGAATCTTTTGATGCCAAATTCAATATATTTTCGAAACAATTTGATGGCCTCCGGCCTATACCAATTAT